TTCTATTTCCACACAGCAAATTACCTTAGTCCACACACTTAATGAATCTTTTTTTATATTACAGTTTTGTCCTACAATAAAAATACCAAAATACCCTCATCTTTCCAATGGAAACCCTAAGTTATCGCCATCGTTGCCCCTCTCCAGCCCCTTGCCTCCGGTTGCTGTCCCTTCACAACTTCCCTTCCTTCTTGTCGCCTCTATCAACCACCACATCCACCGCCAACAACTACCCAAACGTTGTTGTCCTAACCCCATTCTCCTCCGTCAAGAACAATACTTGAGAGCTCTAATTGAACACCCCCAATGATGTGAAATGAACCCACACTTCTCACTCCTCATCCCTCATCCCTCCTCTCTCTATCTCTCTATATTCTCTCTTTCACCTCATTAGAGATTAAAATGGGGGTGATGTATGGGGGGATGTAGCACCACTCAAAGATAAAAATATAATTGATTTTTGGGACCCATTTGAAAAATCTAGAAATTTCCTAGATGTTGATTTGTGATTATGTATCAATTTTAAGCAGAATATAACAATCCCAATCAAACAATCAAGACAAAGAGACACAACGATTTTACGTGGAAAAACCCCACAATTGCACACCTCCAATTGTGATAAAAAAAACACGGGCAACAGCCACAAAACAATCCACTAAGAAGATTTAAAGGAATTACACAGGTATACTCTCAATTACCTAGCGAATCCACAACGCCTAATTGAACCAACCTCTATGTGCCTCTTCCAACCCCATCTTCACCACGGAATTGTCTTTACGAATAGAGCCACCCGGAATCCACCAAAGCTTCAGGCTCGAATTCTGCAGACTCCACCGAAGAACAACTCTCTCTTTTTGTGTATAACAAACCAAACCTTTGATGTACTCTCTTTAAACTGATTTGAATACTCAATAAAAACATCAAAGAAACTAGCAAAATATCTCCAGATATAAACCTTAAGATCCAAAAATAAGATCTGGAGAAGTTCCTCTAGTGTTGGAGAAAACAACTATTTATATAAAACCAAAGCAATCCTAGTTTCAGAACAAAACCAACTCCTTAACAATCTGGAATCTGGGATCGCGCGGTCCGCTCGGCGAGCGTTGGGTCTTCCCGCTCGAGCGGAGACTTCAAATTTCTGTGATTTCATACAGGCTCCACGCTCGAGCGTCGGTTTTGAACGCTCGAGCGTCGAATCACACCATCCAGTACTTTTTCAGGCATAGCAGATATACTGTGAGCTTGTAACCCGCTCGGAGCGCCCTTTTCCCCGCTCGAGCGGGAAGGCCAAAACTGGAAAAACTGGAAAAATATAACATGATCGGACAGGCAACTTTGAATGCATTTTTGCATTTTGCTTCGGGCCGCGAGCTGACCGGCAACTCGATCCCCGTATAAAATCAACGAAGTGGCAAACTTGTATACATTGACATCACAAACTTCTCTGCAAAGCACGATTCGGGTTGGATTCGCCTCTAACAACTCATAGCCTCACTGAAAAATAAATGCGAATAAAATTACAACTCAAAGGAGTTTTGTCAAACGGGATTGCCAAGAAATAAACCTAACAATCTCCCCTTTTGGCAATGCCGTGACAAAACACCCTAAAAATAAAATCTAAACACCCCAACCCATTATAGCCAACAAAAGCCAACTTCTTTCTCAAGGTCATGATCTGCAAAACAGTCATTAGTGCCACAATCTCCAAAACAACTATTAGTCCACAAGAGTATAAGAAAAAAACAATAAACATATGACACGATTATCTTGAAACATGGATGGAAAACATGAATAGATGAAACTAAGACTCATGAAAACACCTCTCAAACAACAAAAGCTAGATCATAAACCACACAAGTAATGATATGATGATGTAAATATAAGGAGCATGCAAGAAGGAAATAATAGTGCATAGCAACATGCAAAACATATAGCTAATCTCTCTTACCAAACATATCAAAGTGTTCATGCTAACAAACTCTTACAAGGATAAACCAAACTCCCTTACCAACCAAAATCAAGATGAACCAAACTCCCCCTTACTAAAAGCAACCACAAACATGAGAAAACAGTGAACAACAAGAAAATGACAAAAATAATATGGTGGAGCAATCAGAAATTTCAGATTAGTACCTTAAAACACACAAGACTATCCAAAAAGCAGCATTACAAGAAAACACAATGTGCATAGTCTGTAGAAAATTCCTCATGAAGAAAGTGATGCATTATGTGAAAAGCATAGATCCCATGAGAAAAGTGTGTATGTGAAACTTGGAGTTCGACAAACACTAGATTCAATCCTAGTAGTGATATGAAAGCTGGACCTCCGACAAGAGAATCTTAAGCACGACAAAGGAAAGTCAAACCACTAGGAATCAAGGGGTATTTGGTGAGTAAAGGCGGAGGCTCCCCTCAATCAATGAATCCTTTTTTTTTTTTCTTCTTTTGCATATTTTTTTCTTCTTCTCTTTCTTTTTCTTTTTCTTTTTCTTTTACTTTTTCTTTTGCACAATCATTGGCGGCTGACACGCTCAAGAGTATGGAAACGAACCAGAGAAGTATGGATATAATAAGGATGGCCTGGTTAGTGACTCTGAGGTAGCCTTTTCCTCATGGCTAGACTGCAAAGAATTAAGGGGAAAGCCATGGAGATGCAAAAGGATGGTAGGTGGTTAAGAGACTCAACATCACCCATGATATGCTAGTATAGGTCAATTCCTCTAGAAACGCAAAAGATCAATGACAGAAGTCCATAAAAAAAATAATCACTAAGGCGGAAGACTCCAAATTTGCTAATCAAGAGTGTGTACAGAATGAAGCATACTAATAAAAACACACCACTCTAAAACGAGTAATGACACAAGGAAGCACACAT